TTTTTTTTTGTAAAATATATTTTAAGAAGACTTATAATATATAGAATATTTAAAATACTTTAGCACATGATATCTTTTCATTTAAAATATAATTATATATAATGAAAAAGCCCATATAGAAGTAAAAGCCCAACAAAGTCATACAATCATCATCATACGAACGATACAAAGCTAAGCTCCGATGCGATTCCCGGCGAAGCGAAACTGATATTTCTCCGGTGACTCAGGCAACGAACCTCACGTTGTTTGCATGTGCTGGCGATCTCTACCCCACTGTATCCATTTATCATACTTGGAATCAGCGAATAGCTATGGCTCTGGTCGATGTCGCCATCTCTTGTCTCAATTCGATCCGCGAAGTAAGTGTTTAATTCTCTTTAGGATTTCCGATCTGTTGTGTGTTTCCTAGGAAATGATGAGTGAATTTGATCATGATAGTAATTGGGATATTTCAAGTTTTTCATTTTTTTTTTGTGTGTGTTTTTGACAGATAGATGAGGATGTGAAAGATGCAATTGTGTATATTGATGCTGGTTGCACCGAGAGTTTCCAGCTTGCAGGAGCTTTCCCTTTGTTCTTGGAGCTAGGTGCCCGTGCTGTCTGCAGCCTTGAGAACATGTCTTCCCTCGACGCTGCGGTAAGCTTGCTTGTTTAGATTCTCGTTTCACAATGCTGGTTAAGGAAGAGGATGTAGTAGTCAGAGAATGGGATCCATATGCTATCAAATTCAGATTGTTTTTCAATTGTTATCAAATGTCAATAGCAAGACTGAATTCTATTTTCCATTGGAGTTGCTTGAATAGCTTAGGCGCAATTTTGATTCTCTTTCTCAAGTTATATTGGTCTTTTTGACTGTCTAGATTCCATATTCTCATCTATGACAAAGGATGTGACTGTTGATACCTTTTGCTATATATAGGTGGCTGATTGGAATTCCAAGTCTGATTGTGCAAACAGAATTGTGATTATGACTTGTCGCCTTCTCAATGATGCTCATCGATATATGCTACGTTGTCTAAACACACATCAAGGCGTTCACCGCTGCTCAGTATTCACCTCTATTTCCGAGGTGCAACTCTGTCCTTAGATCTCAATTTTTTTTTTATTTTCCTGGAACAGAAGAATAGGAACATTTGTATTGGTACTTTTAAGAAAAATCATAAGCTATTTGGCTTATACATCGTGTTGTATCTGTAGTGATTATTATAATCATAGTCAAAGAGCAATGAAGGCACTTATCTAATACTTCAACTGTTAGGGATCTCATTCAGCCTGCCCTGATTCGCCACTTGGTCCAGACGCGTATAGAGAGTACGAAACCTTACTTGCTCAGGATTACAATGAACTCACCAAGAAAAGTGATAAAACATCTAAAGACAAAGGGGTTCCTAAGTTTTCTTCCGCACTTGAATCCCTTACGATGGAACCTATTACAAGTGAAAATTTAAATGATTCATCAGGTGATGCAGAAGGTTTGGTAGTCTCGGTGCACCACTTCCCCTTGATTATTTGTCCTTTTACTCCTAGAGCGTTTGTCTTACCTTCCCAAGGATCAGTTGCCGAAGCCTCCTTGTCTCGCCAACATGAGGATTCGCTTAGTTTTGGACTGCCTCCTATAAGCACTGGATCTATGTCTGATACTGATGATGTTCCTCCTGGTGCAACTCTTACCGCACATTTTCTTTACCAGCTTGCTCTTAAGGCATGTTAACAGTGCAGTAACAACACTACATGATTTCTTCTGTTCATTTTATGAAGTTTGTGACATGTCATTTGTTTTGAAATGAATGTAGATGGAGTTGAAGTTGGAGATATTTTCACTTGGTGATGTATCAAAGAATGTTGGGAAGATTATGACAGACATGTCAAGTCTTTATGATGTAGGGCGTCGAAAGAGAACTGCCGGCTTGTTACTCGTTGATCGTACACTTGATCTTATCACTCCCTGCTGCCATGGGGATTCACTTTTCGATCGAATCTTTTCAACATTGCCTCGTGCAGAAAGATTCTCTACACAAGCACAGCTTAAGCAAGGGATTCCAAGCATCGACCGTCCTTCTCTTGATGTTCAAGTGCCACTTGGGGAACTGTTAAATGAAGAGCCAAGCAAGATTAAGGAGTCTGGTCTTCCTGAAGGAGTTGAAGCGTTCTTACGTGGCTGGGATTCATACACTTCTGATCCACAAAATGAATCTGACAAGAAATCTACCACCAACTGGTCTGAGCTTCTAAATGGATCTCTTGTTGCCACTGAATGTTTTAGAGGAACGCCTTACTTAGAGGCCATGATTGAAAGGAGAACCAAGGATGGAAGTGTACTGGTGAAGAAATGGCTTCAAGAGGCTCTGCGTCGTGAAAATATCTCTGTGAACGTGAGAGCTCGTCCTGGTTATGCCACGAAACCAGAGCTCCAGGCCATGGTCAAGGCATTGTCCCAAAGCCAGTCGTCTTTGTTGAAAAACAAAGGGATTATTCAGTTAGCGGCAGCTACAGCCGCTGCGCTTGATGAATCCCAAAGTGCCAAATGGGATGCTTTTAGCAGTGCGGAGATGATGTTAAATGTCAGTGCTGGTGATACGAGTCAGGGTTTGGCTGCTCAAATTAGTGACCTGATCAACAAAAGCGCTTTGGCAGAGCTTCAGGCGAAGAAGAATGAGAAACCAGATTCCTCATCACGAGGGCTTCTGTCTTTTCGAGATGCTCTCCTTCTTACAATAGTTGGTTACATTCTTGCTGGAGAGAATTTTCCTACAGCTGGCTCAGGCGGACCGTTCTCTTGGCAAGAAGAGCATTTTCTTAAAGAAGCCATTGTCGATGCTGTTCTTGAGAATCCTTCAGCAGGGAATCTCAAGTTTCTAAATGGGTTGACAGAAGAGCTTGAGAGCAGGTTAAACCGCCTAAAGTCCGAGGACACCAAAGAGACTCCCTCTGATGATCCGTTAGACATTGATGCGCTTGATGAGGATCCATGGGGAAAATGGGGTGATGAGGAAGATGAAGAAGACAATAATAGTAAAGCAGACGAGTCCTACGACGATATGCAGCTAAAACTTGATTTGCGTGATAGAGTAGACAGCTTTTTTAAGTTTCTCCACAAGTTATCGAGTCTAAGAACAAGGAATGTACCATTAAGAGAAGGCTCATTGGCTTCAGAGAGCAGCTTCCCGGGAGATCCATCTGGAAACAAAGGGCTACTCTACAGGCTTATAACAAAAGTGTTGAGCAAAGATGAGATACCCGGTTTAGAATACCATTCCTCAACTGTAGGAAGGCTTTTCAAAAGCGGGTTTGGAAGGTTTGGTCTTGGCCAGGTTAGTTAGCTCTTTCTCTCTGTATTACTTCCTTTATTTCTCATCACCACCCATGAAAATACACATTCATTGTTTATTGCAGGCAAAACCGAGCCTGGCAGACCAGAGTGTCATTCTTGTCTTTGTCATTGGAGGAATCAATGGTCGAGAGGTTGTTCTCTTCACCACATAAATTCACTAATTTTTTTACATTTTAGACACTTATTATTGTTTCCTCCATTGTCAAGGTTATGGAAGCTCAAGAGGCTGTGGCGGAGAGTGGAAGACCAGACATTGGGTTGGTTACAGGAGGAACAACTCTCCTAACTCCTGACGACATGTTCGAGCTTTTGTTAGGACAGTTCAGCCACTTTTAATCCTTTTCCAAAAACAAAACAAAACTCACTCTCTCATTGTCCTCCAATGTATTAGAAAACACAATAAGCGAATGTTTAACATACAAAACTACATTTCCATTTTCGAAAGAAAACAAAGAGATTCGGGTACTAATTGTAAATAAGCCTAATTTCATCATTAGTCCCTCAAGTTTTGTAATTTTACAGAAGAGTTTTCAATTAAGATGAAAATCCTAAAACCCCATAAAACCTACCTCGAGTGAAAGAAGAAGCTGAACAATGGCAGCAATGAAGCTCCTACTCTCTCAAGCTCGCCGCCAAGCTCTCACCAAACCCTTCTCCTCTCCATTTCCACAAATCCATAGACTCTTCTCTTCCTCTCCATCATCAGATCCGAATGAATCCCCCAAAAAGCTCGAGCCGGTGTCATACGCCGCCAAACCCTCCGAACCATCTTCACCGGAAGATCTCTCTCGCTTGACGCGAGAAGAGATCCGATACACGAAAGACTCTCCTTCACTCACTCCCGTCTCCTACGCGCAGCGCGTGGCTCCGCTTCCAGAGGATCGCGTCGTCAATGAGGAAGACAGAGAGAGAACTCCAGAGGAGATGGAGATGGAGAAGAAGAGGATTGATTCGGAGAATCGAGCCAGGAGAAGGTTCTTGAGAGCTACAGCTGTGGAAGAAGATACTTCTTCGCTTCCCTTGCCGACGTTGCTTAAACCGGAGCTGAAGCATGGAAAGAAACCTATTTTCGATCTCATGGAAGCTATTAGAGAGATAAAGGTTGAGACTTTTAATCCATATGATTGGTTTTGTGTGTGTTTGATATCAAAAGGCTTAAACTTTTGCTTGTTTCGTAGCTATGTAATGTGAACATAGAGTGAGAGTAATAGTTCATGAAAGTTTTGTTTAATGGTAGTACTATGAGAGTTGTGGATTCTATGGACTTGTAATTGGTGTTGTTGTGTTGAGTTTTGAGTAGAGTGGGTGAGGAGAGAATGAACCAGGGCTCGTCAAATTGTGCATCTCTTGTATGATTGATTATATCTTGGTTCTTATGTTTTTCTCCATTGGTGGTTCAGGGCAATGCCAAGGCCAAGTTTTTGTGTGTTTCCTTATGATATCAAAGGATGAGACTTTTGCTTGTTTTGTAGCTATAGAATGCGAACATAGCTGTAGACGATGCGGTTGTGTTTAGATGTTGTTAAGGCCTTACTTGTTTCACGTAGGGAGCTTTGAACGAGTAATAGTTCATGAATTTTTTGTTTAAATGGTAGTACTGTGAGAGTTGTGGATTCTATGGACTTGTGATTAGTGTTGCTGTGTAGAGTGAGTGAGGAGAGAATTGAACCAGGACTCGTCAATTATGTGCATCCATCTCTTATATGATTGATTATATCTTGGTTCTTATGTTTTTTCTCCATTGGTGGTTCAGGGGAATGCCAAGGCTAAGTTTGATGAAACTCTTGAGGCTCATGTGAGGTTAGGCATTGAAAAAGGCCGTTCTGAGCTGGTAATCTTTTTCTCTGCATGTTTTGCTATCGTTTTTTTTGTTTCTTTATGTTAGGACTGACTGCGATTACTGTTTAAAACTGCAGATTGTTCGTGGTACTTTGGCTCTACCACACTCTGTTAAAAAGGTACAAGAAATGCCTCTCTAATCCCTTTGTGGGAAATTTTATGTATCGGCCATTTAGTAAATAGACAGAAATGGTCTTTCTTTGTTTAGGATGTGAGAGTTGCTTTCTTTGCCGAGGGTTCGGATGCAGAGGATGCAAAGGCTGCAGGAGCTGATGTCGTCGGTGGTCTTGAGCTTATTGAGGAAATCCTGAGTAATGAACCAATTTACATTTTAATTCATTCTCCTTCCATAAATCACTTCTGACATTTGATTGGTAGATGATCATTCGTACTTAAGCAAAGGTTGATGGGCCAAGTTCATTTAAACTTCGTCCTTCTTCCATAAATACTTCTGACATTTAATTGGTAGATGATTATTTGTACTTATATCTATCTGCAGAAAGTGGCAAGATCGACTTTGATAGATGTCTTGCAACTCCCAAAATGATGCCCCGTGTTTACAAGGTTCTTAGAATTTAAGCACTTATCCATAATTCATCTATAACATGATGAAGGTGATATTATTCTCACTCAATATGCAAATGGTTTGTGTGCTTGTTTGCAGATATCAAGGATTCTTAACAATCATGGTCTGATGCCTAACCCCAAAGTAAGTTGGTTTATTCACTTAACATCTTACTCTAATGTATCAGTCAGTATACTTACACTAACTAGCCTACATTATATGTGTTGTAGCAAGGTAGTGTTACGAAGGATGTAATGAAAGCAGTGAAAGACGCAAAAGCAGGACATACCAAATTCAGAATGGATAAAACTTCCATTCTTCATGTGCCACTTGGAAAGGTTACATCTCTCCCCCAAAGACTCTTATCTGAATTTCATTATCTATATATATTCATGAGAAGAACACTTTCATAACCAGATGAGCTTTCCTGAGGATGCTTTGAAGGAGAATGTTGGTGCATTCATGAACGCCCTTTTGCTGGCTAAGCCTGCCGGATTGAAAAAGAGTAATAACTCCATACCCCAAGCTTTTAGTTACTTATAGAAATCTTTGTTTTGGATGATTTGAGTGGTTACCGTTTTGCTTTCTATGCAGCTTCAAAATATGCTGGCTATGTGAATGCATTCCACTTATGCAGCACGGTAAGCTTTTGAATCCAAACCCAAAGTAGAAAAAATATTCTTAAGACTCTAGTTAGCGTATAATAAATTGCTTTTTAATGGTGGTTATATTTTGCAGATGGGAAAGGGTTATCCGGTATCGATACAGTCGCTATCTAGAGCAGCAGATCACTATACCAAATTGCAGCTCAAGTGAGAGTGAGCAAAATAGACTTTAAAAGATAAAAAAGCTTGTTGTTGCAGGCGTTTTTCAATTTTTCCCGAATGCTGAATTTTTTGGAACAGTCTTATGACTTGTTGTTTACTAGGTTAGTCTTTTCATAGTGGATTGGATTTTGCTTTATACAATCAAGTCGAATTCATGTCTTAATAATGATATGACAATGTCTAAATTGCTACTCATCACATCACTTGCATAATTAATTTATTTTTTGTATTCTGTTAAAAACATAACTTGAATCTTTGCATTCTTTTGAACCTGTTAAGAGTTTTAACAGTCTGTTTACCGCAAAAAAATTTCACTAGCTCAAGACAAGCTAACTTCTTTCAAGACTCTTGTGTTCGGTTTTGAAACACTCTTGTTCTCAGTTTTCTTTACTTGTCTGAATATTATCTACCTACAGTTACGTAATGGAAATAAATCTGATTTCGTGTGAGATCGATCTCAAGCAAACCGATTGAAACAAAAAAAAAACTTGGCGGGTAGTTGAAGTGTGAAGAGACACCTCACTCCACTAGCTGACACGTGCCACCATCGGTTAACCACGCTTTAGATTCATCTCAGATTCCAAACAAGCTTCCATGGTTCTTATCTTGCCACCTCAGCAACGTCACCCTCGTACTCCTTTAACTTCTTCTTCCTTCTCTTCACAAAAAAAAGACTTTTTAATATTAATTTCAAAAAATATCGACTTTCTCCTCTTAGCATATTGATCGGAACGAATCTGATCGAACCCTTGAGAGGTTCTTCAATGGCGCAGTTACTCTCCCCTGTTTGTACGGATCTTTTAAAGTTCCAGAACTCTGTTCTTAACTCCAGATCAAGTACCTCGCGGTTCTCAGCAAAGCCAAGCGGTTCTGCTTCGTCTTGGTGCTTACCTGCACACGCAAGAAGGAGACGAAGTAGCTACATCGGAAGATTGAGAGTTGCAACAGAGGATGCTTCTTCTCTTTCCACCGGCGATGTTGCCGATGATTACTATGCTGTTCTCGGACTGGTAACCCTAATATGCAAAAGTTTGTTGTATTGTATACACTCTTTAACATCCAAAGGTTCTGTCTTTACATCTCTTTATTGGCTCTGTTTTCAACAGCTTCCAGATGCGACACCAGAGGAGATTAAGAAGGCTTACTATAACTGTATGAAATCTTGTCATCCTGACTTGAGTGGAAATGACCCGGAGACCACAAACTTCTGCATGTTCATCAACGATGTCTATGAGGTGAAGTTTTGACTTTTGAATACTTTTTTGTAAGGTCTTCATGTGTTCTGCTTTTGGTTTCCACTGGTGTTAAGGTGTTGTGTTTGCAGATTCTTAGTGATCCTGTACAGAGAATGGTTTACGATGAGATTCATGGGTATGCAGTGACTGCCACCAATCCTTTTCTTGATGACTCTAGCCCCAAAGATCATGTTTTTGTTGATGAGTTTGCTTGTATAGGTATATGTTCTTAAAGTTCATTTCATTCAAGGAAGGGCCAAGGATGATGATATGTGTTTACTGTTTTGATAGGCTGTAAAAACTGTGCCAATGTGGCTCCAGATATATTTAAGATTGAGGAAGACTTTGGAAGAGCAAGAGCATGTAACCAGCGTGGCAATCCGGATTTGCTTCAGCAAGCAGTTGAAACATGGTTAGGATCTTATATTTTGTTACATATCTGCAAGTAATTGTGGAGAACTGATTAGGAGATATGCCTTTCTTTTTCTTTTGTTTCAGCCCAGTTGATTGCATCTATCAAACTTCTGCGGCACAGTTGTCATTGCTTGAAGATGAAATGCGTAGGGTTGAAAGAGTGAATGTAAGGCAGAGCATTTCCTCTTGTAACTCTCTTATTGTCCACTTGAAAAGAAGCATCATTGCTAAGGCTTCTTAACATGGAATGTCATTGGTGGATTCAGGTTGCTCTTATGCTTTCTGGAATGGGATCAGGAGCTGTTGATGTTTTCAGAATGGTAAGAAGCTCTGTAGTTGAGATGTTCCTATTCTTTTTCCTTGCCGACTCTTTAGTCTTTTCACTGCTTGTTCTTCATTACAGGCGAGATCTAGATGGGAAAAGAGGCAAGCAAAAGTTTTGGTATGAACTATCAACTAGAACTGTCTATAACATTCGATATCATCATGACATATGTAAGTCATAAGTGCTTTCTTTGCCTATGGTTTCAGAATCAAGCCAGAACTAGAATGATGAAGCGGAAAAGCACAGATGAAACACCTTCCTATTGGGATAACCTCTGGGGCAAAGACAATCAATACCAGAAAAGCGGTATAAGATTCATATAGTGTTCTCTCATTCACTTTTGGCCAATGATCCTATAAGAATTTTTTTTTACTATCTTTCTATGTCTGTGACAGAGGAAGAAGTACAAGAACGAGCTCAGCGAGCCGCCGCAGCAGCCAGGAGATGGAGGGAATACTCACGAAGAGGTGTGGATAAGCGGCCAACCTTCAAACTCCCTGACTCCTCATCCTCCACAGGAGACAACTGAAACCATCTCCAGACATGAATCATAATGGTAGTAAAGTATAGATGTAATAACTTCACTGTTCTAGACTTGTATAGCTTTCTTCCCACATCGATTTTGTGCAAGAAGAAAAACAAGTGTATAAACGTTTTCATGTATAAGTCTCCAACGCCTAAAATAGTGGACAGTAGTCCAATAATTTTCATTAAACTATAAAATATAGAATCCTAATCTTGAAAGGAGTTAGAGTTAAAACTTCAAGATTTGATCAAATCAAGAATAATATGTAATGGATATTGGTAGGGGCTGATCATTTGCAAAACTAAGTGTCGATTTTCATTATAGAATTTAATGCATGTATGCTTATGGCTTACTTACCCTGCAATGATGTTGTTGCTTTCTTTCTACTTGCTTGCTTTGGTCTAGAAATCTCACAACCAAGTGTCTCTATGTAGAAAGCATTCGATCTAGTTAAAACATGTTCAGATAATAATTCATAAACCACCAACAAACACTAATCAAATATATTTTGTTTATTGAATGTTATGAAGAGCTTTGACTCAACCATCAGTCGAGAACAATTATTCTGTGAATACAACAAAAAGAGAATTTCTTAATTTATTTTTGGAGTGTGATCTTATCAAGACTTGATTCTTTGTGGTGTGTTGCATGGTATAGTATGGAACCTAAGCTGAAGATCCAGCCAAACGTCTTCTTGATGCATTCGAAGTCGACACTTGACCCAACTTGTCTGACTCCTTTGACTCATCCGTCACCACTCTTTCTCTAACTGGTGTGTAATGCCTAAGCCACACTCCTGTGTACACCTGCAACATTAAAAAAAAATCCCAAATGAGACGATCCAAGTTTTCTGCATGTGAACTACTTAACCATGTTATACCTGTTGTGGCCTCATGATCTTGGTGTCAGGATCATCCAACGACTCTTTCCAATGAGACAAGTATCCAGCCATACGAGGAATAGCAAACAAGACAGTGAAGAACTCTGGTGGAAACCCCATTGCTCTGTTTCAACAGTCCAAGTTTGTGGATATTAGATTGAGTTGTAAAGCGAAAGTGGTCAAAGACTCAAAACAGTTTTACCTGTATATTAAACCAGAGTAGAAATCAACATTTGGATAAAGCTTTCTCTTAACAAAGTAATCATCAGAAAGAGCTGCCTTCTCTAGAGCAACGGCTACTTCAATTAGAGGATCCCTTCCAACAATGGAGAACACTTCATCTGCTAGCTTTTTAATGACTTTAGCTCTTGGGTCATAGTTCTTGTACACACGGTGTCCAAAACCAGACATCTTCCTCTTTCTAAGATGACGTCAAAAGAGATGAAACTATCAATGCAAAGGCTCCTCAGCATAGAGTTTTAAGCATTGAGTGTTTACCTGTTTTTCACACCCTCTATGAACTCTGGAATGTTTTCAACACTTCCAATCTCTGACAACATCTTAAGCACAGCCTAATGGAACCAAATACCATGAGTTTCAAACACCATGGAGCATACACATACATCAAATGTATGAAAATCATAAGAATAAGTAGCACACCTCGTTTGCACCGCCATGAAGTGGACCATAAAGCGCACCCACAGCTCCAGCAACAGCAGTGTAAACATCAACACCACTACAGAAACACATCTCTTAGTCAATATCTCTCTCTCTCAAAGTGATCAAGCCTCAAAATCAAAGAGGTGTGTGTGTACCTAGAGGCAAGATGCCGAGCAGCAGCGGTGGAGCAGTTCATTTCGTGCTCCGCATGAAGTATGAAGAGGATGTCCAACACCCGAGCTAGCCGAGGGTTAGGTTTGTAGGATCGGTTTCCCCTGTAAGAAGATAGAAATTCATCTCAAGTCTACAATGACTAAGCTTCCCATTGCATGAGATTATGGTGAGGGGACATACATGGAATCAAGCATATAGAGGAAGTTCTCAGCATAAGAAAGGTTTCCTGAAGGAAGAACGGGAGGCCTCCCTGCCATCCTCAAGTAAGCAGCTGCTGCAATAGTTGGTGCCTTTCCAATAATGCGAATAATTTGTTTATCTCTAACTTGTTTTGAGTTGTATATTTCCTGGCCCTGCACCCAAATATAGTACTCTAGTTAACACCTTCGTAAGACTGTAATCTTGACTTATAAGCGGAAGAATGTAAACTTAAACTTACCCTGAGAGCAGGATTGGCATCAGGATGGAAGATAGAAAGTGCACTCATTGCACTCACAAGTACTCCCATGGGATGTGCATCATGAGGCATAGACTGTATTATATCCTATTATCAAAGAAACTCCGGTTAAGCATAATGAGAAATATTTGGAACAATGCACACTATAACCCTCAGAGGTTTGCAAGCACAGAAGGTACTATTCTAATGTTCTGTTTTGCTATCAAAATGATAAGTTCACATGGTACTCTAAGGACTAAGGGACTCACTAAAACTCCTTGAGGCACAGCTGAATGTTGAGAAACAGCAAACTCCCAATCAGATAGTTGACTTTCAGAAGGTAGATTCCCATACACTGCCACAAACAATATAACATCCTTTATATATTAAAGGAGAAACATTTAAAAAATTGTAACCTCAATTTTGTAATAATTAAAAAAGATCTCATGCTTAGGTGTCACTCAATTAGGTAGTCAATTACATTCAATTGAAAAATAAGTAGGTCCACATTCGATTTTTATATTTCGCTAGATACATTCGTTGGTCAAATTATATGATATGATGATATGATATGATATTTATGATAGAAGTATTTATGATTGTTTCCCTAGATATATTACTATTTTATTTTCTTTCCATAAATAAAACCTACGGAATTACCATAAATGACTAATATATATATATGACACTTAATGATTATAATAATAAATATTTGATAACAGTTTATATATCCTCCATCACTTTTCTTTAATTTTAAATTATTAAAATAAATTAAAAAATCAAATTAGCTATAAAATTAAACTTTAGATTTTTTCGTATAGGTTATATTTCGAATTTAAAAAAACGAGAATAAATAACTAAACTATTAAAATTATTATGTTAAAAATTAAAGATCAATAGTTTAACATTTTTATTATAAAAAGATATACATGATTTTAAAACCATATAAGTAAAAAGTATCATTCAATAATAAAACAAATATATATATACAGATTAAACTATATACCATATAAGATTACATAAATATTTTAATTTCAAAATCCTCAATAAATTTTCAAGAACATTTATAAATTATAAATTATTAAATTTTTCACATTGAAAATTTTTGTTATCAATGATTTAAATATCTTAGTTCTTTTTTTAATTTTATATTTTTAAAAGATATTAACAATCGATAATATGGTGATTTTTGGTATATACCATACAAACCGAATGGATGTGATTTTATAAAAACCATAGGATTTGGATATGGTTTGATTTATAACCGATTAAACTGAAACATGTAAATATGTATATATTTATAACGACGCATGAATATCTATTTGTTACATGAGTTGAACTATAATTATAATTTGTAAATAGCTAACAATTTATTACAACTTAGACTTCTTATTTTGATCTTTTTCTTTTTTAACAGTAACTAAATTGAAGTAAAGATTATAAATTTAATGGACAACAATTAGTTGAAATTCTTTACAACTTTTTTTTTATCTTTAAACAAACAGAGTTGTGTTCAATCGAAGACATATTGGTTTGATGAACACTAAATATGGAAGAATATAAAAACTTTTCTTTCATGCTTCTGTTTTGTTTTTTATTTTTATTTTCAAAATTTAGTGTTTTGATATTAATTCTAGATTTGATCATNGAAATTCTTTACAACTTTTTTTTTATCTTTAAACAAACAGAGTTGTGTTCAATCGAAGACATATTGGTTTGATGAACACTAAATATGGAAGAATATAAAAACTTTTCTTTCATGCTTCTGTTTTGTTTTTTATTTTTATTTTCAAAATTTAGTGTTTTGATATTAATTCTAGATTTGATCATTTTATTAGATGATAGAAACTTTTTTTGTTTTTTATTCTTTTATTTAAATATATAATATTTTTTAATAAATGACTCTGTGATAATATGACTCTAAATATGATCATATTATATATTTGTATAATATATAATATGATCTCAAACTAAATAATCATGTTTTTTGGTATAAAATTGAATAAACTGAAAACCGATGGTATATAAACCAAATCAAACTGAATTACATATAGATTTAGAATAGTAGTTATATTTTAATAATCGAAATCCCAAAAAATCGAGCCGAACCGAATCCCGATATCCGGATTGAACACTTCTAATCCGAATGAAACCGAACTTTTGTTTTATTTTTCAAAATATAATAAAAATAATAGCTTTATCCCGCGCAAGGCGCGGATCTTGTCCTAGTGTTGTTAGTAAATAAAATAAAACTCAACAGCCATAGTTTCATCAAATATAATTTGATTCTAGAAACCACAACAAAATATATTTATACATCCAACACTTAGAGATATTCAACAACATCAAGAAAGTTGCAACATAATCTAATACTTACTCAGAAGATAAGCGACCTCAAGAAAAGTACTATTCTCAGCCATTTCCTCTATCGGATACCCACGATAACGTAGGATCCCTTCATCTCCATCGATGTAAGAAATCGAGGACCGAACAGGAGCCGTGTTCAAGTAACCAGGATCATATAGTTTAAGCCCTTTGTCCTCTTTCCCCATCGAAATCTAGAAAACCAGATCAGATCTCAGTTTAACTAAAAAAAAAGAATCAGTTTACTTGTCCCTTACGCTTAATTAAGCTCTAATCAAACCTAACAATAACAAGATTATCTATATACCTTCTTGAGATCAACGGCTTTAACGGTACCATCATCTGATACCGGAACCTGATACTTCTTCCCTGTCCGCTCGTCAACGATCGTCAACGCTCCCTTCAACGATCCGTGCGTAGCCGCTGACGTGGACCATCGCTCGATCGCTGGAGATCTTGACTCGGAGGGACCACTTGACGTTAAATGAG